GAAAATAAGCCCTCCCCTGAAAATAAGCCCTCCCCAAAATATTGCAGCACAGCAGCAGCCATGAGGTGACCATACTCACCGCCTCCTGCACCTCAAAAATAATAAGAACTCCCCGAAAATAAGGCCACGTGCTTATTTTGGCGGCCAAAAGACCCTGTCTTATTTTCGGGGTAACACGGTAAAATTCCCCCATTCTGTATTTCAAATTGTTGTGGCCTAAATGGTGCCACCTACCTTCATCATTGTTATAGAAATGTAGCGTGCTTCTTTGACAATCATAGGCTCATAGGATGCTTCCAGCTTGGGGGAAGGGAGTCCCCCGAAGGTCAGTTCTGGTCCAGAAGCAGTGGCCCCCGCAGGGCTGCCGGGGGCCCGCTGTGTTTTCTTAGCCTGTTCCTGCTGCAGAGAAGTTTTCTTCTGGGAAACTGGGATTGCTTTGACTTCCACCTGGAAATTTCATTAAGAGAAGAGAGATGGTGGCAGCCATAAAAACAGCAAGTCATTCTAAACCCCAGAAAAGGGATTATACAAAGAATGTTTTGGTCTTCAAACTACCTTTTCAAACCACCCTAAAGCGTTCACAAATGTAATTGTTGTTCTCGGTTTGTAGCAAGGCTAAAGAAGCCTTCTTTGAGCCAGACTTTTCACTGCTTCGACTTACTAAGATGATGTGTCAGAAAGAAAATCCAATGGCAGGAAAATGAATGCAGGAAATCTCTCAAACACATGAACCCCCATGCCATAGGCAATCCACAGGGGGTTTAAATCGTCTTTGCACATTTAAAAAGGAATGGGCAATGAAAACTTTCCTTAATGTATGCAGTGTATATTATGTAGTGTACACTGGAGGTGGTGACCCTGTAAGCAACAAAATTTCATTTTAATGTATGCCGATTAGTGTACATTCAAAGTGGCAATAAAGTTATTCTAAGTAAGCCACAAATCCTGAGCTGTTTAAGCACTCTAGATAATCCCTAAATGGCATATCTGTTCTGATTTAGGCTTCCCCAGCAGCACGAAGCGGAGTCCTCATCCCGATAAAACCCCTTTTATTTAATTTACAGTGGATTCCTCTCCAGCAAAGTCCCATAGTCTTTCAAGATAGTTCACAATTACCGACCTTTATCAGGCTTGGAGAGTGGCCAGGCCGATATCTTACAGATGTCGCAATACTTGGCAAAAATGCAGGAATGAACTAATTGTCTCCTGCAAACACTCCTCCCCTTTTGCTCCTCCTTTATTCCCTTTGGGAGGGGTCATTTGCCGTCCTCCAGTGACTTTAATCCCAAGTCAACCCCTGTTCCCTCCGTTTGGCAACTCTGCGCATGCACACTGGGAACTGGCTCCAGCTGTTAGTTTGCCTCACTGATGTCTGACCCAGAAGGCAGCTGATAACTGTCAGACGGCTCTGGCCCCCTCTCTGCCTCCGACACAGAGCCCTCATCAGAGCCTTCCCCAGACTCCAGGACTGGCCCATGTTCCCTCCCGACCTCCTCACTGTCTGAATCTGCTGCCAGCTCTGCTGGCCACCGGCAGGCCACAACAGTATTCTACAGTCAGCTATGAATCATGCAGCTGAAATATAAATTCCTCCTACATCCCAGCAACGCTCCAAGTTCTAGAACAGAGGCGCCAGTCTCAAACCAGAAACCGTTTTACAAAACTATAGATGTAATCCCGTTAAATCATTTCCACGCAGGGGAGATTCGTCAGCTGCGTTCCTGAGAGGGCCTTAGGCTGGAAAGCTTTTTTGTCGATCATATAAGCCAACTACCTTCATATTAGGCACATGGACCACTTCACCGTATTGGTCTTTGGTTTGCACGGTGACAATCGTTGGCCAGCCACAGCGGATGTCGTCTTTGTTGAGGATCAAGGATGTTTTCTGGGGAT